TAGTCTGAAAGAGGATAATATTCTCTTCACAATGAGGTCATTTTCGAAGATTTTTGAAGAGATATTAAACAGGTTACTTTTTGTAAGGTACTTGCGATGATATTTATGTTCACTGTAAAAAATGTTCAAAATACTGAAAATCGTGTATCTTGAGAAGAAGAGGGATGTTTCTACTTCGTAGCTCAAATCATCCGTCATTTGTACCTATGCGGATACCCTGTTACATGCATGAATGTTATAGATGCTTGAATTTTTTCCAAGTAAATATTACTTGAGAGGTACCCAATTAGTTGTGCTGGATGCAGCATAAATACCAGATTTTTTTCCGTTCACCGTTTTATTTTACTTTCAGATATATGTAAAAGAAAAACATAAGTTTACAAGAATGACGTGCGTTTTTATCTTCACACGGTCACCTGAAATGGCTAGCCGTTTAGGTACCTGCTAAGTAATATTTTACTTGCAAGCACATATGACATTCTTGTAGCAGGGAACCTAACTCGGATACTTATGTTCAAGTACATTCACTAGGGCTGAAAACGACATATATGGTACTCCAGTTTCGCAAGTTATGCTACTCCTGTGTGCTTTATTATGCAAAGTTTTAGAATGGCTGTCCATAACTGTTCATAAAGAGTCTGGGCTTTTCTTTGACTCTCCATATACTGTTCGAGAAAAGCAAGAAGAAATTTTGTTTATAGATCATTATTCAATCAGTGAGATGGATGACAGAGCCATAGCACAATGTTTACAAGAGGATGAATACAATCAAACAAACAATAGAACATCTAGTTGGGATAATAATAACAGCACTCACGATAAGGTTGACGCATTTGCTGCAACAACGATAGGTTTATACAATAACAAAAATACTAGTGATGAGTCATCTTACTATACACTTGTTAGAAAAAACCAGTATGACTACAACAATCTTGTAGAAACAACAGATGATGCAGAGCTGGCAGCACATTTACAAGCAGAACAATATGTACAGACGAATAAACAGATTTTTCTTCAGAATAATTACCATGAACAAGACAATGGCAGCTTCAATATTAATTTAGAAAACGATGCTACAATTGCTTATGAATTATAGAAGAGTGAAGATGCAGCAGCAGCAGCGGCGTTAGAAAACTTTCAAGTCAACATTGATTATAAAGATGGAGATAATAATAATCATAACTCCAACAATTTCACATCAGCACAACCAATGCTGCAAGTTTTACAACAGCATGATGGTGACTTTACGTCTGATGATTATGAGGTTTGTGCATTTTTTTATTCCTTATAAGAATGCGTAAATTTTCGACCTTGTGATGTCTTTAGTCTGTTCGGACTCGCTTAGCATCAGCGACTCTGCTTGTCAGTTATATCTAACTAGATTGTCCTGGTTTGTATGTCCGAAGTATCACAAATGTAGGATATATTATGGCATGTTGCTAATATCGGCACACTTTTCTACCGTCTCTAGGAAACTCGCTATGTTTTATCCCAGAAGCGATGAAACATTGCATGAATGAGGACATCCTTAGAACTTAGACTAAATTTGTCATCTCTTGCGGTGCCATCAATAGTCTTCCTACGAAATCTAAGGACAATTATATTTAGTTCAGATGGACACTGATCAAATTTTTCGTACACATCAATTGCAATTAAGCTGGCCGGTCAACTATATCTTTTGCACGAGGGAATATTGTGTGCGATATGTACAAAAATAATGTGTGGATTTAGAAGACATGTTTTGTAAACTGTGTCAAAGATGGAAAATCGGATTTAGTATCTGAAATATTTTTCAATAAGTAATCTGCTTCTTTTTTTGACCAAAATAGCGTTTGTCGCTACTGGATGAGAACGCCGATGTTAATCACAAAAATTTGAGTGGGGAGCAAATAAACCAGATTTCAACAAGAATATTTAAAAAACAACAAGAATCAAATGTCAAGGACGATAATGAAAACACATGTCACATTTGTTAATGAACAATTTCAGAATGATCAAGTACTGCGAATCCTGCCTTGTGTGCATCAATATCACAAAGAATGCAATGATCGCTGGTTGAAGGTAGAAAGTTAATTTTGAAAATTTAAAAATTCATATTGCTATAAGCTTTTATTCGTTTTTAGTACGGTGTTAAACTATTCGGGTGTATCATAATGAATGAACCTTTCAGCATTTTCTATTTTTCTCATGTTCCTTTAGGATCCTAAGATTAAGTATTCCATTTAAAAGATGCGCCGTGAAATACTCAGCAAAACCATACCTAAACTTTAATCAAGAAAACTACGTAAATTATACCAAAGGTGAGGAAAATGAAAAGTTTGTAAATTTGGTATTTTTTCGACCTGAACTTTTTTCTTCTATTATTTCCATAAAAAAATGTAGCAAAAGTCAAAACTCAATTTTTTTTGTACTTCTGAATGTGCGCGTTCTCACGGTCTGTACAAAATGCTTTTAGGGCAGATGGTGTGGTGGAGAGAAAAACGAAGTTTCAAAAATTGACAATCCGACGTTTCCAACAATGTTTTCAGACAGGAAACAGAAAACATGATCGAAATTTTGATTTTGCAATTACGTAGAGATGAGCAATCAATTCTGATCAAAGCAAAACAAATTCAATCGAAAAAAATAGTTTTGATAGCGTTTACATTTCAAGATTAACAATGAGCAATTTAAAAAAATCATGAAATATATCGAATCGGGGAAGAAGCAGGGAGCAAAATTAGAATTTGGCGGTGAACGTGTGGGAAAAAACGGTTTTTTTATTCAA